TGAGTACACTGTGAGTTGTGTCTGCATTCAAGCTGAGGCTTCTTTTATAAATGCGGTTTCCCACACACAGGCGGGGGTGGGGGGAATTTAAGCAGGAATGGTGTGGATCTACACGTACTGGGAGATACCAGATTTGCCTGGAGCCACTGCTGCATCCCTGCCAGCACCCACAGCAGGGCAGAATCATTACAGCTGATCCCCTGACACTGATGGAGCATCTCAGCTCAAAGAAGAGAAAGCTCCAGGGACACCTTATTGCCACCTTTCAGTAACCTGAAGAGGCCTGTAAAATGGGGACAAATTTGTTAGTAGGGCAATGGTTTTAAACTAAAAGACAGTTGATACTTAGATTAGACATAAGGTAGTTTTTTAAGGGTAGTAAAACACTGTCCCAGGTCGCCCAGAGAGGCAGTGGATGTCCCGTGCCTGGAAGCATCCAAGACCAGGCTGGACAGGGCTCTGAGCAATCTGATCTAGTTGCTTATTGCAGGGGGGTTGGACTATATCACATTAAAGGTCCCTTTCAACCTGAAATATTCCATGATACTAAGATCTCCAAAAGGCAGCTGCTCTCTCCAGCTGTTGATGCATAGTGTGCTTATCTGCTGTGGTCAAAGTTTTCTACAGCAGGCCTGCTGGACTGGACACAGACACAGTTGCATCCCTCCTTCCTGGGTTTCTCCCACAGGTTCTGTTTTTTTCCCTCAAACTCAGCCAAGCTGCAGGTCTGGGAACATCTCAGGCAGAGGCAGTCCCACCAGCCAGCACTGCTCTCCCAGAATCTCCTGTGTCATGTGGTCTTGCACCTTTTGTGTGTGACAGCACCTGGCATTGCCATGAGCTACCCCAAGACTTTGTTCCTCCCTCCCTTCCGCTCTGTCACATTCTCTTCTGGCCCACTTTAGCCCATGCTCAAAGAGCCTTACCCATGCTAGGGCAGGCCCAGAGATGTCAGACAGTGCTGCTGAATCATGCTGGGCAAGGAAAGGCTACAATGGGGACACCAGGTGCTGAAAACGTGACAGGGCTGAGAGGCAGCTGCTGGCTCTGAGGTTTGCCCTGTGTGTACCAAACGGGCCTGGAGGACACCTGCAAAATGGAGAAACCCAGGACAGCTGGTTCAGCTGGTGCAGGGTGATGGTGTTCACAAAGGAGGTGGCAGCCCTCCAGGTCTGACAGAAATGGTGCTCCCTGGGCCCTGGTTTTGTCCTCACAAAGCAGTCGGGGGTGCTGGTGGCAGTTTATTGTATGCAGATGTTTTGGAGTGAGTGTGGCTTACCTGCTGAGGAGGGCAGGAGGCTCTCAGGGCCTTTCAACCAACAGGGCCCTTGATCTACCCTGGGATGGGAGAGAGGTCAAGATGCAAAACCTGCTTCTAAACAAACAACAAATGATTACACAGCTTTCAAATTTCACACTCTTTATTGCAATTCTCACCCCAGTAACCAAGAAGGCAAACAACCTTTCCCAAGGTTTAACCAGAGATAGCCAAGCATCCTGGCCAAAGCAGCCACTCTTACACACTTCCAGCAGCACAGAAGTCAGAGACATTTCCATTGCAATGACACAGTCACCAGAAGAGTATTTCCATGATGTTCTTCAGGAAGGCAGCCATGGCAAGGGACACTTCACCTCCTTTGGAGAAACCGAGCAGGCCAACCCCTGGACCCTTCACCTGGGAGATAGGAGGAAATGCTCATCAGTGCGGAGCTGAAAAGCACAACAGCTGATTCATGGAGGGCAAGACTGTCTAATGCTGAGAGTTTCCAAAATGTCATGAAGAAAGTCATAGCAATGAATCCTGTTCCTTCTGAACAAATGACAGGCACCTCCTACACAAAAATTTTTTCTATTCCATGCAAAACATTCCCTTATGATAGCCAAGAGAGAACAAGCACAATAAGACCTTTTGAGCTGTGATTACAAGAGAAAATGAGATTATTTAGAGCTAAAGTGGGAATGTTTTGATATTGGGAGACTGTAAGAAGAGATCGGGGTTTTCCTATATTGGACAGGGACAGTTTCAGCCAGCTCAGAAATGTATATGATGCTGCTCAAAGATGAGGGGGAGGTGTTTTTAAATTTCTTTTTATATCTCTCTGTCTAATCTGTTATTTATTGGCAATGATTTAAATTAATCTTCTCTAAGTTAAATCTGTTTTGCCCATGATGTTGGGCAAAATATTGATTAATTACTCGCTGTCCTTATCTTTACCTGTAAGGTTTCTCTTCTTAGTTTCTCCACCTCTCCTGTTGCTAAAGAGGATTGAAAGAGTGGCTTGGCAGATATCCAACAACCAGCCAAGGTCAACCCCCCACTGTTGGCTACCAGTAAAGGATTTTTTCTTTATATTTTCTAGACTATGGGTTCACATGTGGGCATGTGGTGACAATTCATGAAAGCTGCTTCAAAAAATGCAGGTGTCTCCTCTCAGTCACTCTGAGATGGAAGTATCTGAATAGTACCCATGCTCTGCCCTTCCAGCACATACGTGTTTGATCCTTCCCCTTTCCTAGGTGAGCATTCTGTCAGGTGCTAGCTAAATCAGATGAGTATTTCTTTATCTTTCTCCAAAGTGGCAAAGTGACAGGCACACGGGGGACTACCAACTCCCCTCCCCACTTTTTGTGTCCCTGTAGATGTTGTGAAACTCAATGGTCCTTGTGTCCTTCAAAAAGATTATGTTCCTATCCCCAAGGGTCTGATTATGAGAGCAAATAAAGGCTTACTCTCTCAAAATCTTCCTGTCCTGCTCAGCTCTGCTTGGAAAAATTGGTGGATATGTTCCCTGTACCTTCATTTGTGTTTCTGCACTGCTTGGAAGCCCGTGAAGGAACCCTCAGCGTGGTCCTTGCCTCACAGCATGCAGAACGTTCCCCTACAGTAGCCATGGTGTAGCCTCTGGAGGACACGATGCTGCCCCATGCCTTTGGTGCCTGTGCTGTGCTGCCTGTACAACGGGGCCTGCAGGCCTGTGCTGCCCTGCACAGAACCAAGCTCGTCCTTACAGAGTAGACCACAGGCAGCTCCCACCCAGGACCTGAGGTAACACAGCTTATGCGGCCCTGCCCTTACTGAACAGCACAGAAAGACATTCCCTTGCAAACACTGTTTGACTGAAGATAGACTAAATGAAGCTGTTACCTTTTACAATAATCTTACAATACCTTAAAAGATTGAAAGGGGACAATCTCTGCTCTGAACCACATCTCCGTGAAATGGGAAAATGCTTATTTGTTTGGGGTTCTTAGCATCTAAAGGGATGTAGATTAGTGTTAGCTATAATACATAGCATTTTTAGATACCTTACAAAATATGAATGCTTTTCTTACTGGGATCAAAATGGATCACCACCTCCTAGTTAAAAAAATTTAGTATACTGAGCAGGTCTCAGCAAGAAATACCTTTCTGCAGAAAGAGCAATGAAGAAAAGAGAAACTCTGTGCCTGGCTAGCCCTGCATAAATCTGTGAGGAGTACCTGTAAGGTTTCTAGCCTAGGTAATTTCCAGAGTTCAGTGAAAGGAAAAGCTAAGGAGAGTTTATGCTATCTTTGGGTGGCATTAAAGTGCTCAAAAGAGACACGGGGGTGCTTGCAGCCATTGCAGGCTGCATGAGCTCCTGGTGCAGCTCTGCAGCACAGCCCCAAGCAGCAAAGCTGCAGTGCTGGTGCCTGTGATTGCACGTAGAGCACACAGAGCAACCCAGAAAGGGCACCACTGAGACACAAGATATTTACCAGGGACATAAATGGTGGGATAAGGATGGCTGACCCTCTGGTGAGGATGAATAGATAGGGGGGGTCAGAGGATGAGATTGGCAACAGCATTTCTGTCCAGCCACTGGTGCTTCACAGAGCCAAGAGGCCTCAAGGGCACCTCAGGATGATCTTGTGCAATTTTACACAGCTCAACTTTCAAGATTTAGCAAAAGCATACAGTCAAAAGAGGGAGGAAAGGCTGGCAGTGTTGCAAGTGTGGGATCTTGGAGGATATAGTGTACACTTAAATCCCGAACAGTTAAGAGTGTATGGATGCCATCTTGCAAAACCTGGATAACACAACAGCTCAGAGGAGCATAGGGTAATGCACCCTGCTCACTGTGGGTATATCTTTAGGAAGCTTTAAAGACAAGAGTATCTCTCACCTGCTGACTGCTATGATAAAATAGCATTGTGGAAAATGTTTCAACGGTTTGCCAGTATTTAAGGGAACTGACCACACAGCCAGGCATATATTCATGTAACTTGATAGGTCCTAAAACAAAACTTTTTTCACTCAGCACAAAAAAACCCAAACATATTGGAGGGTACTCCACTTGCCTTGAAAGGACCAATAATTTCATTGCTAAGGGCTGCTGTGGGGAAACCACTGGGGGAATATATTTTATCTCTATTATTTGACTGAAAAGGAAGCAAGCGAGTCTGAAGCATTTAAAATGCAACAAATCATGTTTGCTTGAGAAACTCTTACTGCATCATTCAGTAAGGGCAGGGCCACATAGGTGGGTGTAATTGCTCAAACTGAGTGGGAGCTGTCTGCAGAAACCACTTTTAGGAAGGGTAAACGGGTGACCAAGGGATCTTCACAACACAACACAAGTGTGAAGGCCACACCATATAATGCAGAATAGCCCAGCAAAGGCACACAGAATGGTGACCATCACCAAATATGCCTATGAACAGTATTTCCTGCATGCAGCTGAGCAGATTTAAAATGATTTAAAATATGTGAAAACATGATGATTTAGAAAGCTACAAGGAAGTTCACAACCTTCCTGAAGTTACCTAGGGTGTAGTAACATGGCTGCTGAAAAGAAGATAACCAATTCTCTTCTGTAGGCACTTAGCCCTGCAGAATTGCTCCTAGAGCAAATACTTATTTTAATCAGAACATTTGATTTTTCTACCCATGACAAAGCCCTTCTACCCCCAGATGAGATGCAGAGACCTGAACTGCTGATTCATATCTAGCAGACAGAAGGCAAGACCAAGACAGAACATTTTCTAAACAAGTGTGCTTTTATTTTGTGAAAAAAATAAGAGTTAGACTTTTGCCAGAGGTTTCTTCGTAGTCAGAATACCTTTCTCAAACAGAAGTGTAGCTAGAGAAATCTTTTCCTCCAAGGTTTCACATGGAAGGTTAGCTACACTTACATGATTTGGATAGGAAGACAGGAGAAATTCAATACTGTCTGTATACTCAGGATCTAGCTCAAGGAACTTGGGTTCTTCCTTATGATACACTCTTGAGTTTTCTGTAGTGTAGTACAGCATCACACCTGCTTCTTCATTACACAGTCTAACGATGCCATGACGGAGCAGGCGTACTTCGGTGTCTTTTGTTATCAGAATATCAACATTGCAGGGGCCTCCATCTTGCCACCGGGCCGGGAAGCCATAAACACTCTGCGCCTTTTCACTTTCAGTAAGCATCGGAGGAAGACAGTCATGAAGAAACGACTTGGCTCTCTGATCCACAGCAGCGTCGATGGGTGCATAGTCAACAAGTTTCTTTATCAGGCTCTGCACCTTCTCCACAAAGGCTGTTCGTCGAGCATCGACTGTGTCTGAGTTAGCAACACCCATATACCGCAGGTAGTCCATGGGAAGCCCCCGTCGGTACTCCACATCTTCCTCTAGGGCCATCTGCAGGGCAGCTGGGAGGAGCTTCTCCAGAAAGTCCCCCCAGGAATTCCTCTGGTAGGAAGACACAGTGATGTGGAGTGAATGTGCATCAGGGAGACAATCACCCTGGTGGATAAAGCCCCGGGGGAAGTACAGCAGGTCCCCGGCTTCCAGCACAGTCTCCAGCACAGGCTCACCGAGTTCGGGCTGCGTGAGGTTTGCGCTGGAGAACTGGGGCAGCACCTCAGCATCTGTTCGGGGCCTGTAGACACGCCAGTGCTTCTTCCCCTCCAGCTGCAGCACGAAGGCCTCGATGTCATCATAGTGGGGGGCAAAGCCCTGCGTACCCGGGGGCGTGAGGTAGGTGTTTGCCCCTGCCATGCTGCCGAACTGCTCCTGCAGGATGGAGAGGAAGTGCCAGACGGTGGGGGAGAAGGCCTGCGGGCAGAGCAGGCGCAGGGAGCAGCCGTTCTGGTAGAAGTCCCACACGACGGCGGGCAGCGCTCTGCCGGAGGGGTTGTGCGTCTCCCGCACTCCCTCGGCATAGCTGGTCACATCCAGGTGGGTGCCGAAGTGAACCTCTCCTCCTCGCAGGGCGGCATCGAAGTCGGCCGTGGAGAAGAGCCCCGCGTAGTAGCCGGGGTCGGCCCGCCGCACCAGCAGCGGCGCCCGCTCCCAGTGCCGCCCCAAGAACTCCGCCGGCGCCACCGGGGCCAGCAGCCAGCGAAAGAGCTCGGCCGCCCGCTGCCGGCTGTCCTCCAGCCGCGACAGCTGCCGCAGCAGCCCCGACACACCGCCGCCGTCCTGCCCCGCCGGCCGCGGGTCGCCCGGCA